TACGTGAGTTGGAGTTGACTTGATGGCAACTGGTATGTATGAACATCAGTATGTGAGCATTTTGACAGGGAGCCTGAGGGAGCAGTTGAGAATGTGAGCTTTGGTCTGAGTCATACATAAGTTCAAATCCAGGCTGTAACAATTCCAGTCATTGGGCACTGGGCAGAGTACGCAACCTAAGATAACATTTCTTTTCTATACATTAGAAATTTACTACATTGCACTGCTTTGAGGATTACTCATCTAAGGCATGGATAGTTGGCCAGAGCATGGCCAGTGGTTGGTATTCAGTTCTTGTTTGCTGTTATTATCGTGGACATTTGCATCTCTCACTTTATCAAACCAGTTCATAGCAATCACACTATTTCCTCTGTCATCATTGGCATTGATTGTGAAGTAGAAGAACAAAAGCTCCTTAATTCTAAAACCTGGGTTTCAACCCCAGCTTTTTGACATTTGATTAGTGGTATGGGCAGGACACACCACTTGTCTGTCAGTTTGTCATATTGTGGTGGCTTGTGTGTTGCTATGATGCCGGAAGCTATGCCACTGGTATTTCAAATATACACAGAATCATCCATGGTGGACAGTTTTCAGTGGAGCTTCCAGATTAAGACAGACTAGGAAGAAAGGTCTGGCAATTTATTTACAAAATTAGCCAATGAAAACCTATGGATCACAACAGAATATTGTCTGATATAGTGCTGAAAGATGAGCGCCTTAGGTTGGAAGTCACTGCACATATACAGTGGCTGCAACAATGGACTCAAGCATACCAATGATTGTGAAGATAGTGCAGGACCAGGCAACTTTTCATTTTGTTGTACATGGGGTTGCCGTGAGTCACACCCGACTCAATGGCAGCTACCAACAACAGCATGGGCAAGATGCTTACCCTCTCTGAACCTGGGTTTCCTTCTCAATAAAATGAGTAACTTGAGGGTTTTTTTGGTGAGGTTCAACGGGGATTATTAGTGTGAAAACAAAATGTAAAGGAAGATAGAAGTTGTAAAGTTTTGCATATAATACTGCTTTCTGAAATGAGGACTGTCCGTAGAAAGCTACCTGAAGAGAAAGATGTTAGTTTTCTGGCTCTAGTATGTTCATGGTTGTTCGGACTGAATAACAATACCTAAAATCTCTGATGAATGAATTATACCAGTGTTTCTCTGCCCTGGTTACACATTTTATTACAATCACTTGAAGGGCTTAAAAAATACAGACCGCTGAGTCCTACTTGCACTGGTTGTTGGGGGTGGGGCCCAGACATCTGTATTTTTTTAAAGCACCCCGGGTATTATCTAATGTGCACCTAGGTTGGGAAATGAAATACTGAGCTCAAGAGATATGTAAAGTAACAAAGGTCACTGAACTTTAAGTCATGAGCTATGGATTTTGGTTCCAGCTCTGTTACTATCAAGGTGGACTAATTTCAAAAAACAAAAACAATTCCGAAAGCCATTGAATATTTCAGATGGCCCTTTCATTTCCAACAGTCTCTGTTTCTGATTGTTTAATGCCAAAACAACTGGTTATTCTATTCAATTCAGGCAACCTAGTAGTTGTGTTACAGAGGAAACCTGAAATTCATCCAGGGGTCTGTGAAACTTGAGGGCTCGGGGTGTCTATTTTGAAGTTCATTTTGCTATAGATCCGTTGATCAATTTAGTCTCAAAGTGATTGATTCTATTAGCCTGGGTAACCTTTTGCCATTGAAAGGGCAGCACCTAATATATGGTAGATGCTCAATAAATATTGGTTGAATAAATAAGCATAGTCACCACCTGTCTCAACATACCTGGTGACTCTGATAATTATTACCCATAGAATCTGTGCAAATACAAAGTTACTTGCTGTTCTGATAAGCAGTGAAATATTTTATGGAGAGGTACTAAGACCCAGTCCCTGGAGGTATTTAAGCAGAAGATGTTGGGGGGTGGGTTGGCAGGGATCAGCCTCAGATAACCTTTAAAATCTCTCAACCCATATTTTCTGGGATGTGAAGGTGTGGAATGGAAAGTACATTCAGGCCTTCTATTCTGTTCTCAATATTTGAACAACAGAATGGTGGCAGATCAAATGCGATTGGTTCTAGTGTTTTTGTCCTTTTCTTTTGGGATCAGAGACTAGACGTTACTGTTTTAAAGGTTCTAGATGTTTCTCTGTATTTGGAAAAGCCTAATAAATTTGTCTACAGTTGCAAATTCTGAGCTTTAAGAGGAAATAGGGCAATCTATGAAAATGAAAAGGTCAACCTTCAGAAAGTGTTAGAGGTAAATGAGATTTCTAGGGCTCTAAAATCTTGCACACAGCTTGCAAACACATTCTTCGTGTTCTAAGCTGAATATCTATAAAGTCATGTTCTGAGGTGCAGATGTTATGAATGGGGGTAAAGGATAGTGTGGCTTTAATAGGGCTGGCTGTAGACCAAAAATACAAACTGGTGGCCTGTGATGATTCAGAGAGGAGACATGTCTCGTGTCCCCCACACAGTATTTAAAAGCAAAATTGAGTGAATTATCAACATGTAAAAGTCGAAATTTTTCACATACAACCCTCCCCCTTCAATATTTCTTCTTCTCTTGAAAATTCAGAAAAATCTGTCTACACTAGGCCCGCATTCACTCATGGCAATAAAAGGCAGGATTTGAGATAGTTGGCCCCCTCAGATGGGACAGTACCTCCAGAGGATCTCTGCTTGGCCCCTTCACTCTTTTCTATTATCTGCCTGGACCCTGGAGAAATCCTTGATTCCTTCTCTGCAGACAAGTTTGTGTGTGGAGGAGTATGTCCTGGCACCTAACATGGCCAGCATCCTTTTTGCTACTTGATTGTGCAACAAGAACAGGGAATATATGTCTTGTTAAGAGTTGTATGACCCTGGCACAGTTTCTACCACATGGTAAGAGCTCAAGAAATTGACTCCCTTCTACCTTCCATTCCAGATCTCCTCCAATCTCCTCGTTTTTCCTCTTTTCTATTCCCCAAATCTAGACAACTTTTTTTTTTTTTTTTTAACGTAAAGGGCAGCTGTTAATAATTACTCTGCATTTGGAAATGGATAGTGATGATGGTTCCACAACATGGGGAATGTAATGTCACTGAATTGTTTGCCAGTGTTAGGTGAAAAGTCATCTGAGTAAAGGAATTTACTGTAAGGAATACTAAACTACATTAACTCTTTAACGTTTATGTACATTATCTAATGAAGAATGTTTTCCAAATTATGAGAGCAATACATATTCAGTGTAAAAAATTTGGACATTACAGACAAACTGTCCCAAGTTTGCATTACACCAGTGAGAGGCCAAAAAAACCAAACCCGTTGCCGTCGAGTCGATTCTGACTCATAGTGACTCTATAGGACAGAGGAACTGCCCCATAGAGTCTCCAAGGAGCAGCTGGTGGATTTGAACTGCCGACCTTTTGGTTAGTAGCCATAGTTCTTCATCACTTCACCACCAGGGTTTCCACACCAATGAGAGGTAACTATTTAATTTTGTTCATTTTCTTCCAGCTCTTAATTTTTTTTATTTATTAAATAACAGTTGTATAATCTTACGTATCTTTTTGCTTATCAAGCATTTTCCCATGCAAGCTTTATTTTACCACATAACGATATTAATACTCAGTATTTATAGTTTCCTATGTGCCTGACACTACTGTACGTACTTTATATGCATTATCTAATTTATTCCTTCCCAAATCACTATGAAGTAGACAGTATTACCCCTATTTATTAACGAGAAAAAGAGGCAGGAAGAACGTAAGAAAATTTTCCCAGGTTGCACATCTAGTAATTGCTAGAATCAGGATTCAAACTTAGATCATCCAACACCAGATCTTGTACTCACGTTACTAGGCATAATGTCTTACCTTAGAAATGAGCTATAATTCATTTTTTTATTGACATCGAATAAAAAAACTAAAAAAGAATAGGATTTGGTAATAAGATAAAGACAAATAAATCTTGTATCTTCTCACCCCCTTCATAGCGTCGCTTACCCCTGAAAAAGACCACAATCCTTTCAAGTCTTAAATTTTTACATACACACAGACACACACACACACGTGCCATCTATTCTGTTCAATCCAGAAGATAACTCTGCCTTTTTGCATCTGTCTGCTCTTTTCATGTGCCTATAACCGTTCCGTTGGCAGTGGCTAAGAAATCAGTTGTGCTTCTTAGATGTCTCTTGAAATTATCCTCTTCTCTCCATCTACCCCAGGACACCATCATCTGAAATAGGGGAAGCTGGCATAGCACCCACTTTGTTCATTAATATCTTTGACTGTTGAGGACTCTTAGGTTTTCTTTCCTACTGAAGAGTTAATATTGCAGATATGAATGTCCGAGTTAACACAGTGACCGTCCGTTTCTCAATGGCAGTAAATTAGGTAAACGAACCCACCTCAACTGCTTGGTAAGGATCAAATTAGTATGCACACATTTTCTTTAGAATTTTTACCATATTCAAGAGCTTTGTTAAGCACATGAGTTTCTTTTTTTTTGTACCTTCTGACACTGCATCAAGGAGGATGTCTCGAGCAGTTAAGACTGGGCTATAGAATCGATAGCTCTGGATTCAAGTTCCAACTCTGCTACCTAACATTTGTAAGACCTTGGACAAGTTACCCAACGTAAACCTCAGACTAGCTTTCTGAACTGTCGAATGGAGATAATAATACTATCTGCTAGATACGGTTCTTGTGAGGAGTAAAGAATATGAAGTGTCCAGTATCTCCCATAGTGCCTGCAACGTAGCTTGTACTCAGCAGGTGCATTTTCAGGCTTTTATCTCCCTTTCCACTCCTTTTCACCCTTTTCTTCTCCTGTTTAGATTCCCAGAGCTCTCCTGCCTTTGACATTCTGTTTGCTCAGGGTAGTCATAAAACGAACAAACAAATTCACATATTGCCTGATTCCATCCTTCCTGCCATTAGTTTAGTAGGTGCTATTGAAGTGAAATCTTTCAAACTAATATGCTTACCTTTTACAGCATTTCCAGAAAGGACTCAGAATCCACTGGCATATAACACTCTACTTTGTACTCGCGGATACTCATTCCCCAGGTCTCCTCCTGTAAGTCCAGCTTCTTCCAAAGAAGAAGGCTGTGTAGAAGACATTCTATACTCAACTCTGTTCAGTGAAAATAGTGAGGCCCCAATGATCTCAGCTGCCAAAAAAGGAATTAAGAAGAGAGCCAGAAGAGCTCCCAAACAGGCCTGGAGCAGTCCATTTTTGGAAAGTCAAATGGCAAAAAAGCCAACTCGACCACACTCAATAGGTCCTGTGCACCTCGAGGCTGCAGGCAGGCACATTGACAGACATGCCAGACTTCCAAACCAGTCCTACTGCAACTCAGAAGAATACCCTGTCCTGTATGGTAGGTATCATGTTGTGGTTCCTAACTCCCCTTTTCTCATTTAAATTTGTCACATTTTGTTTTTTAACTTCCATATTAACAGCAAAATTACTGAGTAAATGGCAGATCCTATTTTAGAAGGTACGGTAAGAAATGTATCAGTCAGTCCTTACTGAAAGTCTACTTGTTGCCAGGCACTGTATTGGAGGAGAGAACAGATGTGAATTGATAACAAGTAATTTGGTGATTCAGGTATCATAGCAGATAATAATGATAATATACTATTGTTTTTGTTGTTAGGTGTCATTGAGTCAGTTCCCACTCATAGCGACCTTATGTACAACAAAACAAAACACTGCCTGGTCCTGGGCCATCTTCACAGTCGTTGTTGTTATGCTTGAGCCCATTGTTGCAGCCACTGTGTTAATCCATCTCATTGAGGGTCTTCCTCTTTTTCCCTGACCCTCTAATTTAGCAAGCATGATGTCCTTCTCCAGGGAGTGGTCCCTCCTGATAACATGTCCAAAGTATATGAGATGAAGTCTCTCTATCCTTGCTTCTAATGAGCATTCTGGCTGTACATCTTCCAAGATGGCTTTGTTCATTATTTTTGCAGTCCATGATATACTCAATATTCTTCACCACCACCATAATTCAAAGACATCAGTTCTTCTTTGGTCTCTCTTATTCATTGTCTGGCTTTCGTATGCATATGAGGTGATTGAAAACTCCATGGCTTGGGTCAGGCTCACCTTAGTCTTAAGGTGATATCTTTGCTTTATAACACTTTCAAGAGGTCTTTTGCAGCACATTTTCCCAATGCAATACGTTATTTGATTTCCTGACTGCTGCTTCCATGTGTGTTGATTGTGGATCCAAGTAAAATGAAATCTTTGACAACTTCATTTATTTTCTTCATTTAAAATGATGGTGCTTATTGGTCCAGTTGGGAGGATTTTGGTTTTCTTTATATTGAGGTGTAATCCATACTGAAGGCTGTGGTCTTTGATCTTCATCAGTAAGTGCTTCAGTCCTCTTCACTTTCAGCAAGCAAGGTTGTGTTCATCTGCATATGGCAGGCTGTTAATAAGTCTTCACCAATCCTGATGCCCCATTCTTCATATAGTCCAGCTTTTTGGATTATTTGCTGTGCATACAGATTGAGTAAGTATGGTGAAAGGGTACAACCCTGACGCACATATTTCCTGACTTTAAACCAGGCTGTATCCCCTTGTTCTGTTCGAACAACTGCCTATTGATCTAAGTACAGGTTCCTCACGAGCACAATTAAGTGTTCTGGAAATCTCATTCTTTGCAGTGTAATCCATAATTTGTTATGATCCACACATTGGTTCTTGATCATACGCTACCTGCTGAAATGGTTGAATGTCGACCAATTCTTTTTGGTGCAGTGACTGTGCATTCCTTCCATCTTCTTTTGCTGCTTCCTACATTATTTAATAATTTCCCCATAGAATCCTTCAACATTGTGTCTTGAGGCTTGAATTTTTTCTTCATTTCTTTCCCCTTGAGAATGATGAGCCTTTGTATATTGTAGACAAAGAAATCCAAAGGATTAGGCAAATTGGCATGTTGGTGTGGATTTATCAGGTTAGAACCACAGACCCACACATGGAGTGCCCAGAGGACACGCCTTTTACCACAACGGAGAGGAACAACTTTGTGAAGGGAGCACCAGCATCCTTGAAGACTGCTGTGATTGCTACTTTATAGATCTCAGATTTGACAGTGGGCACTGCCCTAACTGAATTAAGACACCTAACTACAATGGGGCTGATTGGACCCCGTGGTGGTAAGGGCCAAGTTGTGGCACTCAATCAACAAAGACAAGGTGGATGTTACTGTGATGGATAGAAGAGTGAAAGCAGTAATCAGAATAGTCAGAATCATATAGACTAATGGCATTGGATACTTAGTCATGATGTCCCTAGGAGTGAAAGAGATCAGAAATCTACTAAATATTTACTTGATTTATACAAACAGAAGAATTCTAGGTCTAGTGAACAGCAGTTTAACTCAAATCATCAGCATAGAGAGTCTCAGCCCCTCAATCAATTCCCAGACTTAGAGTGAGTTTAGAGACCCACAACCCCTTGAAAGAAGGGTCCCCATGAGGAAGGACTCAAATACATTGCCAAAAATTTATACCATTAATCTCTCTCCCAGCCTTCTGCAAAGAGATCTATGGTCTTTTACAAAAGTGACTGTTCACTGGGGAAAAGAAGATAATCAGACTTTTCAGGGATTATGGGATAATGGCTCTGAACTGACACTAATTCCAGGAGACCCAAAACATCACTGTGGCCCACCAGTCAGAGTGTGGGCATATGGAGGTCAGGTTATTAATGGAGTTTTAGCTCAGATTCGATTCACAGTCAGTTCAGTGGGTCCCTGAACCCATCCTGTAGTGATTTCCTCAGTTCCAGAATTCAGAATTGGAATAGATATACTCAGCAACTGGCAGAAACCCCACATTGGATCCCTGACAAATGGAGTAAGGGCGATTATGGTAGGAAAAGCCAAGTGGAAGCCATTAGAATTGCCCCTACCTAGGAATATAGTAAAACAAAAGCAATACTGCATTCCAGGAGGGATTGCAGAGATTACTGCCACCATTGAGGACTTGAAAGGTTGCAGGGGTGGTGATTCACATCCACATTCAACTCGCCTGTTTGGCCTATGCAGAAAACTAGACGGATCTTGGAGAATGATAATGGATTATTGAAAACTTAACCAGGTAGTGGCTGCAATTTCAGCTGCTATTCCAGAGGTAGTTTCATTTCTTGAGCAAATTAATACATCTGGTACCTGGTACGTAGCTAGTGATCTGGCTAATGCCTTTTTCTCCGTACCTTTTTCAAACAATCATCAGGATCAGTTTGCCTTCAGCTGGCAAGGCCACCAGTATACCTTCAGGTGCCTACCTCAGATATATCAGCTCTCCAGCCCTATGTCATAAGTTAGTCTGCAGGGAGCTTGATCACTTTCCCTTCCACAAGACATCACACCGGTCCATTACACTGATGACATTACATTATGGTGATTGGACCTAGTAAGAAAGAAGTGTCAGTGACTCTGGACTTACTTGTAAAACATCTATGTGCTAGAGGGTGGAAATTAATCTTACAAAAATTCAGGCACCTTCCAACTCAGTGAAATTTCTAGGGGCCTAGTGGTGTGGAGCATGTCAAGATATTCCTTTTAAAGTAAAGGATAAGGATTTGTGGCAACATGGCGCTCTAGGCAGAAGCACCATGCTGTCCCTCCACAGCAAAGATCTGAAAAACTAAGCCAAACAGAGAAAACAGCAATCCTGAAACCCTAAAACATCAAATGAAGAGATAAAGAACTCAGCTAAGCACCAAATGGAGTGAGAAAACTGACAGAGAACGGAGAGCGAGGAGAGGTTCATGCAGAGGTCCCCTATCAGTTAATGCAGCATGGATCCGCCATCTTGGACTCCTATTAGAGACCAGCAAATAGGGGGTACGAGAAAGCAGCTTCACAGAGCTTCCAACAGGAGACAGAACAACTGGTAATTGGCGATATACACTTTACCCCCACCCCCCACCCTTCTTCACTCCCACTCGGCCTCCTCTGCTTCCCTCAGCCACAGTCTCTTGGCCAGGAAGCACTGGCTGCTTCGATTCTCCCTGCCTGCACTGGCCAGCTCCCTGAGTGCCATTTATTGGTGGCTGGTGTTGCTATTTTCTGCTTCTTTTGATTTCTTCCTTACCTCTCACCACCTCCCCCTCTTTCGCTCAAATACCTGGCTCCGTGCGCCATCTTTGCTTCTTCCTAAGGGGCTGCAGAGCTCTGTTCAAGTGTGGAACGGCTTCCTGATCTGGGCTGCCACGTGGGTGGGATCCCGGGGCTTTTGTTTGTTTGTTTTGAATTGTTTGTTTGTTTTCTTTTCCTTTTCTTGAGTTGGGAGCCCGTCCTGGCAAGGCAGTGCTATGTGGCTTGGGACCTATCCCCTCAGCTTGCGCAGACACGCAGAGGGATCCCTGAGGGCATTTCTTGTTTTGTGGGTTTTATTTTTCAGTTTTTTTGGGGGGGGGGTTTCTTGTTTTTTTTTTTTTTTTAATTTGTTTTGTTTTCTTTTCCCTCTTTTTCCCTTTTTGTCTTTCTTCATTAC